TTGAAATTTTTTTGCAGTTAAATTCAGAAATGGGCCTATTTTGATCGTTATCAAGATTTAAAGAACATTATTCCTATGAATTTTGGGACTAAAATATTTTTTATTTTTCCTTTAAATAATATTTATTTATATAATACAGGTAATCCTCAACTTACAACTGTTCATTTAGTGACGGTTTGAAGTTACAACGGCAATAAGTGACATGAGCATTTTTCAAATTTACAACCATTGCAGAATCTCCATGGTCATGTGATCAAAATCAAATACTTGCCAACTGACTTACATTTATGACAGTTGTTATGTCCTGAGGTCATGTAATCACCTTTTGCTATCTTCTGACAAAGTTAATGGGGAAACCAGATTCACTTACAACTGTATTACTTACTTAACAACTGCAGTGATTACTCAGTTGTGGTTGTAAGTTGGGGACTACATGTATATATTTCCCAACTTCCAAAGACTCAAGACTCACACAGAGTAAGCATTACAACAATAACCCAGATCTGTGATCAGTACCCAGGGCTATTTGGAATAAGCACAGAATGGGAGCTCCCTCTAATTTAGGAGGCAAGATGTTGTACAGGATGGAGGCACCCACTGCTTTCGCTTACTATGGGATAAGAATCCTTTCTGTGATAAATCTGAAGGTAATTATTGTCAAGAAAGATGACCCTCCAGGCACAGGGGTAAAGAAGAATTAGTAAGTGGACTGAATTTTGGACTAATTGTAAACTTCTGAGTTATTTTCCAGGGTAACTCATGGAAAACACATTGCAATAGCCTAACTATAGATGTTAAGTCACTGTTGTAAGAGACTTTCCTTCCAAGAAGAGTTGCAACTCACCATCTGAAACTGAGCAAAGCCCTTCTGGACACAATCTCCTTCTGTTGCTCCATTGCAATTCTCTTTCTTTACTTTTAATTCATGAGATCTAATGTTCCATAGTGGTTAGTAGGTTTATGGAGAACTAATTGATTTGGAAAGGAATGTTCTGCAGAATTTCAAAATGTTTCATTCTCCTCACAAACCATCTCCTCTATTCCATGCTATTCTGAAATTAGTTTGGCAATTTCCAGCAGAAAATCTACTGAGCTACAAAGAGTCTGTTGTGTCTTGGTGGTCTTCCACCCCAAAACAGGAGTGTTTCATCAGCAACTCCATGTCAAAGACACCTAGGGACACTTCTGAATTAGATGATTAATTTTCAGAAACCACCAACCAGACTGGAATGATATGATTTTGGGGAGACCTGACAGAATTCAGAGAGTGAACAGAGCATGTTGGAATGCTTCATATGTTCTTTTCCAAATTGTTGGGTTCTGTACAATTCCAGTAATCAGAATGTCAGACTAATTCTGGCCTGTGAGGTTGGAGAGTCAGGGTTCAAGGCTTTGGCAAGAGGGCCCAATTCAGGCCCTTTCTATATTAACAAAAATAGCAGAACTGAACTTGAGAGTTTTTGTTAAAACTGAGAATATCACTTAAGCTGTCCAATTTTTTCATGTAAATGGTTCTGAGGCTGAATTGGTTATTTCATCAAAATGCAATTATATCCTGGAAAATAGGAAGAAGGAATGTTAGGTATGTTTGCCACCTTATTTATAAAAATAATAAAAGTGGGATATAAATAAATACATAAATAAATAACAATCAAAAACAAATTTACTTCACATCAAACTTTTGGTCCATTCAAATGGGGTCATTGATGGGATTAGACTGGGGAAATGTTGGATATTATAGGCTAAGCATTTTCCATATGCGGGACCCAAGCATAAGTGGCTCCTGCTTCATGCCAAAGAGCTGAGTGTGACTCATATGGCAAATGAGATCAATGCAGTGGGAAAAGGCTGACTTCATGACTGCAGATTATGCGCCCTGTTGGATAGCAGACAGTTTTGTACAATAGAAAGTAGGTGTGGAGAGAACCACTATTATAAATACAAATTTCTAACCAACTATGGAGTTGTCAGTTGTAGAGAAGAAAATACAATAAAGCTAAGTTTTATTTAGGAAGTAACAGTGACAGGAAAGCCTAAGTTACTCAAGTTTGTCTATAATTAAGAGGCTGCAATGCCCTATCCTCCTTTATGGAGAAGATTGGTTACATGGGTCACCTGAATTGCACAGGGCAGAGTTTTTTGAGTAAGAAAGTTATTGCCTCAAGAGTATTAATTTAGCCAATAGGAAACATGCTATGCAGAGATATGGAAAGACTTTTAGATAAGAAAATAAATTAAAATACTAAGTCCCTCTACTACAGTGCTTCTCTGAAAATACCCAACCAGAAAATAAGCCCTAGTCTAATTTTTTAAGCATGATCCTAATATAAGCCCTGCTCCAAAAATAAGCCCGTTAAGATTATCGTCAGCCCTGGAGGTGGGGTAGGCATGGCTAGCACAGGAGGTGGCAAGCACGCAGGGGCTGACTGTGTCTGGCAGCAGTCATAGCCCGGGTAGCGCAGGTGCGTCCTACTGGGCCAGCAGCTGGCGGAGGCAGGCAATCCTGAGGTGCCACATGACCACCTGCCCTATCACGGCTGCAGGCAAGCCAAAAGATAGAGTGGGCGACCAGCCACAGGTGGCTCCATCAACCGGCGGAGGCAGCGGCAGGCGATCCTGACGTGCGACAGCACCGGCAGCACGTGGAGGAGGCAGGCATATTCCCTACCTCCCCCATGCCTCTGCCTCTACCTGCTGCTTGGACAGGTAATCAACTCACCTACGCTGCACAGGCTATATAGCCCAAGTGTGCTGGCCAAGGGGCTGGTGGGCTGGGGCTGCTGCCAGACATCATTGGCCCCTGCATGTTCGCCACCTCTTATATGCATGCCAGGGGGTGAGGCACCCGGCTGGGCTGATCACCTTGATACCGTGTTTTCCCAAAAATAAGCCCTAATGTGTCTTTTGGAGCAAAAAAAAATATATGAGACCAGGTCTTATTTTTGAAGAAACATGTAATCTCTACATCTACTACTCCTAGTGGTCAATAGATTAATAGATGCCAAAGATGCATAAAAAGCAGAATTCTAACCAGTTCAACATGCATTATTTATTGGCATGAATTACACTATTCAGATTGAAATCTAATTGAATGGAATAGTTTTGTTTGAAGGGGGCCAGCACTAGGATCATGTCAGCACACAATGGAAGTGGTGGTCTTAAGAGACAAGTGCTAATTCTGATTAAATTGCAAAGGAAAGGGAGGGGTATAGATTAGTCTCCCAACACCTAATTTCTCAGAATGTTGCTACCCCATAGAACTCTTCTTGCCTCTAAGACAGCAACTCACACAGGTGAATGCGGCAATGCTTCATTTCTAGCAGAAACTCATGGCCGAAATAGTTCTGCACTTGCATTTTTTTGAATAAAATATGGGCAATCATGTTGAGAGGGATTTGTCCTTGTTGAACTCCAAAGAGAAGTTGAGCTCTGAGAATTAATCTTGGTGGCTTGAGTTCAACACTTACACACTCGGGTCCTAACTGAGCATTTGCCAGTCCTATGATCAAAGATAAAGGGAACAATTTCCCACATTGACAATTGCCTCCAGTAGAGAAAACTCCTGATTGCAGAAGTCCAGGTGGAGATTAGGATAATAGTTGCTTGGCAACATCATTTGCCCACTAACCCACTTGACTCTGGGCAGATGATGTAATACATCATTCACACTTGGATGGTAACTTGGTGATGCCACCAGTCTTGAAGATGAATCTTCCCTTGCCAGATTTCCCTAACCTGCCATTTAAGGATGAATGAGAAAGTTTCTTCCACTTTCCAAACTTTTGGTAGCAGCAGGTGAAGATATCAAATCATCTGAATCACAGAAAGCCAATCACTTAGTGGGAGGAAGTCATAATCATAAGAATCACCAAATGCACCTTTCATGAAACTCACTTGGCTCATCTGGTGGCCCTTCAGTGAGCACTCGCATGGATGCAAGTCCATGCAATTCATGTTGGCTGTCCCTTTTGTTTCTGAACAAAGAATGGATAAAACTTACACCAGAAGAAAATTCCAAATGGGATGATCTAGTTCTTGCACACCTGAGTTGCAGGGGGATTTATTCACCATCCTGCCCCTGCCTCCCTACATTTCCTCAGTTCCACTGAAATAGTTCACTTACCTTCACACTGGATAGTAAGGATATTTAGGGGTCCTAATTCCTGACCTATCTGGATTAAATAAGGTGCACAGATGTAAAGCCACATATATAAATTCAAAGTATGCATACACATAGCATGTATTATATGATGGTAATATTCTGTCCAACAACAAATTATTTAGCCAAGACAAAAGAAAAAAGATGATCCTTCTCTTTTCCATTCAGCATGGTATTACCCAACTGCCTAAAAGATAAGTCACTATTTGTTTTTTTCCTAAAAGATTTCTGTAGAAAAACTACATGTTAAGGTGGGGCGACATCTGAGATAAAATTTGGGAAGTTATACCAAAGATGTGTATGTGTGCATGAACATGCACCTGTTTAGGTTTCCATAAAAATGATTGAAATGCAAAAAATGATATATGCTAGTTTAGTTGGTCCACTGCTTAGAGGCATCTGGGTATTCTGCAGTTGCTTTTAGTTTCTGCAAATGATGATACATCTTTGTCTATATAAGCCATGCTTTTGTGAGCAGTTCTGCTTTGACATTGAAGTGTATTGTTTCATAGAAGTCACCTCACTGAGACTCAGTGATAACATGATTTGCATCTTGGTAACACTTAACATTGCTTTGAATCTCCCTGTTCCCCTTCCCCCCCCCCCCCCCATGGCCAGAAACACACCCAGAAACTCTTCTAGTTACTAGACATGTCATCAGAGAAGACCTCAGAAGCCAGATGAATATTTTACTTTGCTTTTTAGAATATGGAGGCACCAATGCTTCACAAATCAATGTTAAAGGGTGTTTAAAGCATCGAAGATAAGTATTCCTTCAAAGCCCTTTTTTTCTTCAAAAATAGTAAAGCTCACTTATAAAAAATAATCAAAAACAAAACAATGACATCGATAGGATTTTAATTACATGATTCAGGTTGCAATGTAGTTGTCCTGACAATATTCTTTGAAGCCTGATTGCACAATTCTATAACTTATGATAACAAATACATATTTTTTACAACCATCCATGATCAAAGTTCTCTGGTTGATGAGTAATATTTTTAAATGTTAGATACAATGCATGTAAAAATAGAAAGTTTAAGATCTAATCTCATCCCAGAGAATGTTTCTGTTTGATAAAATAAATAAGGCAATAGACAGCCATTATTTAGCAGTGGCTTCCTTAAGATATGCTATTAAATCTGTCCTCTCTTTCTTACTCTTAAGGCCAGTAAAGACCATCTTAGTTCCTGGAATATACTTCTTCGGGTTTTCCAGGTACTCCATCAATGTATCGTCTCCCCAGATTATACCTATGAGAGAACATTATTACAATAACATTGTAGAATTAAATTCAAAATAATTTATATTGTGTATCAGAATCTCTGTATTATTCTTTTCTAAGTGTCCCTATTTTTTAATTTTTTATAGCTGAATAAAAACAATTCAACAGTATGATATAGTGATTAAGGTGCTGAACTAAAACTCAGAAGATCTTGAATATCCTATACCTCAAAACTGGCTGGGAGATACTGACCAGTCACATTCTCTTAGTTCAACTCCCTCATGGGTTGCTTTGAGGCAAATAGGACACATTACATATTATGCCTACAAAATAAAGTGAAGATATGAATCTAATAAAGAACAGGAATGAAATATTAAAAGTTATACATAATAGTGATTAAAATAAAGAAAAAAAAACAGAAAAGGAACAAAAAATCCATATAATTCAAACTAAATCTAGCTCAATTATTAGCAAGTTATTAGGTGGGCTGCCTTGTACTGCCCAAATATCTTACCTTAAAATCTATAGACAGAGACAGAACACTAGAGTAGTTTAAAGAGATAAAAAGGAACATAGAACTGTTTGCTTCCCACATATTTAATACCTTGCAAAATAGACTATAGTTAGAAACAGATTTAAGAGTTAGAAAAAAATTAAGATTGTTTTAGGTTTATTTTAGAAGACTGACAGATATGCTGAAATGTTAGACCAATCATTGGTTATTGTTACAGTAGTTCAAGTGAATGTAGTAAGGAAGTCCAAACATATTTAAACTCTGAAGAAATGTTTTTTGAACCATCTAGCAATACAAATATAATATATTGGTTCACATATAATTCACATTGTGCCAAAGCAAGCCAAATCAAGGAAGAAAAAATAAACTTCCCAAGTACCCAACAAATTATAGTTAGAACTAATCATTTAAGAACCCTGGTTAGAATTTGCTTTTAAAAATTCTTCTTCCAACTTCTTTGTGTTTTGTGTCATTTTGAAGATGGGGATAATTTAGAATACTTTATCATTCTGAGTGAAACTAAAGGTTCTAAAACTTTACAATGGGACTTTAGTATAATTCTGTTACAAATTCTTTTCCTAGTAAAATTCTACCAGCTATCTACATCAGTGAAAGATACTCCTGCACTAAAATTATCTTACTTAATAAGTAGGTTTCTGCTATCTACCTCCTTGTATCAATGCATAAAGTCAGGAAATACAGTGACCTGGATTGCATCATGAACTAACTGAAGTCTAAATCTCCAATTTAGAAGGATCAAAGTATGCAATTGTCACTAAAGAGGACTGTTGCTCACTGGCTAAGGAAATATGGGAAGTGGGGCACCTAAGGGGCAAGAATTAGGATTCATTACATTCCAAAAAGTGTATTAAATCTGAAGGTGATATCTAACATATACTAAAATGCCCCTAATGTATATTAAAATACTGTTATCCATTGGAGTGAGAATCCATTTTGTGTGAATGGATGTTTTTAAACATACAACAATCCTTTGGTAATATGTCATCCCCTTCCCATTGTCATTGCATTTGCTTTGCAAGATGAGTATAAAACTTTCATTTTACCTTTGTTTTTGTTGGCTGCTGTATAAGAGTAACCAACAGCTTGACCAGTTTTTCGACCAAACAGACCATGTAGATTGGGACCAGTCTTGTGTTTGCCTCCTTCCTCTACTGTATGGCAGGTTCCGCATTTCATAGAAAAGATCTTCTTGCCCTTTTCAACATCTCCCATTGTAAATGCTGGAGAAAAGACATTATACATGTCAGCTGGAAGAAGTATGCGAAAATGGATAGAAATGCAAAGCAGGAGGCATTCTGAAACATTAGTTCATGCACAAACATTAAAAATGGAAGTGAACTGCCAAAATGTATACTTTCCTAATGAATGATATGCTTTAGTACAATAAATTTATTAAAAGCATTTCATACTTCATGTTTCCAATTGCATAAAAGTGACATGAAAATTGTAATGAAGTTTACAAAAAAAAATCACTATATGCTGAATGATTAGGGTTACGAGCCAATTTCCATTTCCAGCCTGGTCCCAGACCCCTGTTCTAAATACAGCTTTTGGATAAAAACCTAGCAGCATACTGTCATCACGCTCAAAATAACATAATTGGAATCAATTAAATGATCAATAACTCTAATGCTGAAATTGTGCTTCTAGAAAAAATGTATGATGCATTAATATGCACTTTCATTGAAAATTATTTTCAAATAAACACATGCACTTAGGATATTCTGCAGAAGTGTGCCAAATATATAGTATCAATGCATAAATTATTATAGAAAATATTACTGCAAGTGAGCAGAATTAAGCACATTGATTTAATATCAAAACGAGGTCCTTATGTAGTACCATCTGCCAAAAACTCCTGATTCAATTTAATAAATTATTCAATGACCCTGACTATGACCTCTAATCGACACAGAAACCATTACTTCCACTACCAGGAAGCAGCGAAGGTTAAATCTGCTTACTCCGTCCTTCGTTGTGAATGAATCTTATTTCCAAGGGAAACAATCCCAAGAGGCGCTTCCTCTCTCCTTTAACCAAGTCCACAATACGGAGCAACGGTTAAAAGACGGCAGAGATACCTTAAGACTCCCTCTGCCTAAAGACTCCCCAACATTGGTCTCGCTGGGATGAAGTGCATCCATTGGGGAGGTATTAAAGCGGCGCTCTTTTTAAATTTTAATCAAAGTCACGTTGAGCCGCCGCCCTGTCCTCCTTCCTTCGTCCCATATAAGGTCAGATGGCGCAGCAGGCAGCGTGGGAGCGCCTGCTTCGTCTCTTTTGGAAGGAAGGCCTGACTCCTTCAGTAGTCCCAGCGGGGAGGGGGCCGCTTGAGATGGACCCAGCTTCCTCCACGGGTCACTTTCCTGGTGTATTGTACTACAATCCCCATTATCCAGAACTGGGGTGATGGGATTGGTAATCCAACACGTCCACGGAGTGACCGATCGGGGAACAAAGCAGTTCCTCACGTCCAAGCGACGCAGCGAGGATCCAAGGCGGAGGGGGTTCATTCCGTAGCCACGTGGAGCCGCGAGCGGTCTCTTTGAGGTTCTGCGCAAGCGTCGCCGGCGAGCCTGCTGCTCTGACCTCGCGAGCCCTCTGTCCCCGATCCGCCAATCCGCATCAGCTCAGAGCGGTCTCCGGCTTTTCCCACCAAGTCTTTTTTCCCAATTTCGGAAAGCTCCGCGCAATCTTAGGATGGGGAGGGTTGTCTTTAATTACCAGGCTAAGTCGAGGATTGCGTGTAAGAAATCTGCGGTACCGCACTCGAGCCGATCTTCCTTTCTCAGCCGCACCGTCTCTACCCAAGGACACTTGGTACGCAAGACTTTGTAACCGGTGCCTCTGCAACCAAACTCCCTGCTCGTCTATTGTACATCGACCAATCAGACGCTAGATAGAAGCAAACTATTGGGCCAGCTTGGTGTCTATCATCATCTAGCAAAGTAGATTGAGTTTCGAGGCATGTCTGATAAGCCGGTCTGGTTTTGCGCAATGGGGAAGGACGTAGGAAGGGAGGAAGCTACGCATGCGTATTGGGTCGCTGTGACAAGGTCAAGACTACTTGAAGCCGCTATGCCTTTCACGATTTTTTTTTTCATAAGGGTCATGTGAGTGAACTCTTTCGCCGGCAAAAAATGACGTAAACGAGGATTCCTCGTGCAAGGCGAGGAACTTGCTGTTCTTTTGGCGGCAAATAGGTGATAGTGCAGTGGATGGGCGAACGGATAATGATGCAATTATCAAACTACTGAGATAGAAAGCTTTTCTTGCACATTCAGAGTCAGTTATTAAGTCCGGTGTATTGGAAATATACATCTGGTTTGTAACACTAGATTGTGGATAGTGTTTATATTATTGTGTCCAAATTGGTGACAGACCTCAGAAGACCTTGGATGACTTCTAAAGCTAAGCAAAATTGAATAAGATTGTATTTGGATAGGAGACCACCAGGGGTACAAAGCAAAAGCAAATTTGTACAAAAATTGGGCTTGACTCAGAGCAGACTTTCTCTTCTGTTACATTTGGAGAGCCCATATTCATCCCCATGCCCCAGAAATCATCAGTCCTGCTCAAATAAAAAATGGGCACTGGAAAAGTTTACAATCTTGAAGGGACAGGATATATCTATAGTAGCCAATAAGAGTGGTCAATCCTAGCCCCAGTATGTCACCATCACTACAGTCACTGTGAAACACTAGAAACAACCTACAGATAGTACTTGCTTAATGATCACTTCTTCAAAAACTGTTCAAACTTACAATATGGTTCTAAATGAGTACTAGTTACAATCAACCCTCATATTTACATCAGTCGCAGAGTTCCTGTAGTCATGTTGCAAGCCAGATACATGGTGCTGAGTTCACAATTATGATTTTATAGCAACCTGCTGTCATGTGATTGTCATTTGCGATCTTTGCTAGATTCCTACAGCAAAGTCAATGGGGAAGCCAGCAGGAGGTTAGAAATGATGTACAAATGACATCTTAATTATCTGCTGTGATTCATTTAACAAAGGCAAAATGTGGAACAGCCTTTATTGAAACCAATGTATTTTCTAATTAACTAGAAAAGCCTAATGTAGCAGACATAGTGCTTCCTCTTCATTATACTTATACCATTATACCGTATCCATATAAGTTAAAGAGATGGACTCATATATATGCATACATATATACATTCATACACACACACACACACACACACACACACACACACACACAGAGAGAGAGAGAGAGAGAGAGAGAGAGAGAGAGAGAGAGAGAGAGAGAGAGAGAGAATATATATGTATATATGTATGTGATTACCAGGAGGATACTGAGAGTTTGATGAAGTAGTGTAATAAAACAGCCTAGTTTTAAGTATAGGAAAACCAACAGATCATTGTCGATTGCAGAAAAGGCAGACACAACCATACACCTCTGTATATTAATGGATCAACTGTGGAGGTGGTTAGTTGTATCAAGTTTCTGGATATGCAGCAGATAAGCAGGTTAATTTGATCACTCAACAGTAAGACACTGGTGAAGCGGTCACAGCCGTGCCTGCATTTTCTGCGTCGTATGAGAAGAGCATATCTTCCTTCCCCTGTTTTTACCACTTTCTATAGAGGGATGATTGAAAATATCCTGTCATATTGTATTACTGTGCGGTTTGGAATTATTACTGTTTTGGAGAGGAAGACTGTGCAGAGAGTGGTAAGGATGGCAAAAAGGATTATTGGAAGCTCCCTTCTTTCTATTCAGCATAGAATAGAATATCTTTATTGTCATTGTGTAGCTCACAACAAAATTAAGTACATTGCATATATGCAAAGCTTGACCGGGGGATGCAGTATTGCCAGGGATGCTACATATCCTCTCCATGATTGGTTTTCATGACCTTCTGGGCGGAGGCTTCGCAGTTCTGAAGCAGAACTTGATTCTGTAATAGCTTTATAATATATAGACAGCACCACCACCAGATGGATCCGTAGCTGGCTGACTGGCCGTACTCAGCATGTGGTCCTCAATGGAACTGCATCTACATGGAGGGAAGTGTGTAGTGGGGTGCCCCAGGGCTCTCTTCTGGGTCCAGTGCTCTTCAACGTCTATATCAGCGATTTGGACGAGGGAATAGATGGGGAACTCATCAAATTTGCAGACGACACCAAGCTGGCAAGAATAGCCAACACTCCAGAAGACAGGCTTAAGATACAGAAGGATCTGGACAGACTTGAACACTGGGCACTATCTAACAAAATGAAATTCAATGGTGAAAAAAGCAAAGTTCTACATTTAGGCAAGAAAACCCAAATGCACAGGTATAGTATAGGGGGTACCTTGCTCAATAGCAGTAACTGTGAGAGGGACCTCGGACTCCTAGTGGACAATCTAAATATGAGCCAGCAGTGTGCTGCAGCTGCCAAAAAGGCCAACACAGTGCTAGGCTGCATTAACAGAGGGATAGAATCAAGATCACGTGAAACGTTAATACCACTTTATAATGCCTTGGTAAGGCCACACTTGGAATACTGCATCCAGTTTTGGTCACCGCGATGCAAAAAAGATGCTGAGACTGTAGAAAGAGTACAGAAAAGAGCAACAAAGATGATTAGGGGACTGGAGGCTAAAGCATATGAGGAACGGCTGCTGGAATTGGGTATATCTAGTTTAGTGAAGAGAAGGACGAGGGGGAACATGATAGCAGTGTTCCAATATCTCAGGGGCTGCCACAAAGAAGAGGGAGTCAAGCTATTTTCCAAGGCGCCTGAAGGCAGGACAAGAAGCAACGGATGGAAACTAAGCAAGGAGAGAAGCAACCTAGAAGTAAGGAGAAACTTCCTGACAGAACAATTAACCAGTGGAACAACCTGCCTCCAGAAGCAGTGAATGCTCCAGCACTGGAAGTTTTCAAGAAGAGACTGGACAGCCATTTGTCTGAAATGGTATAGGGTTTCCTGCCTAAGCAGAGGGTTGGACTAGATGACCTCCAAGGTCCCTTTCAACTTTATTATTATTATTATTATTATTATTATTGTATCAACCTTTTTACCTCTCAAGACTCTTTTCCTCTACATACACAATATGGATTATGGTTAATATATGTGTGTATATTTATGTATGTGTGTATATATATATGTATGTATAACAATATGGATCCATGACATCAGCAAGCATTGCAGGCCCAATTGATGAAAGAAAGCTCGGGACCCTATTGGTTGGAAACCAATGCGGAAGAGTTCTTTATCCTGCAGTGGATAGACAATGGCTAAAATGATGATGATGTATATGTATGTGCACAAATGTATGTATGATGTATGTAAGTATGTATGTATGTATGTATTTCATTCAATATATTTTATTCTGACCTGAAAAAGGGTCAGGCATGTCTTGTGCTGTGCAACTCTTTCTGGAAAACTTTCATATCTGAGTAAGAAAAAGCAATCTTCTGGATCCATGAAATTCTGAAAGGCACTTGATCTTTGTGCTACTTGGCAGGTTTAATTCTGGTGTGTCAAATATGCTGTTTCACAATCTTTGCAATTCTATTTTATAACCTAGTGGATTTTTCTCTTCAAGACAACTCATAAGTATACGGACTCAAACCCATACCACTAGAAAATTTATTTTCATCTGGATGATCTGTTCTAGAAATATGCACCTTGGCACCTTCTAGAATTATAGATGGCAATTCTTATATGCCCAATCAGTAAGACCAGTAAGGATCATTATTCAAAATGTATGAAGGGCATTGGTTTTCCTATTTTGATCAATTTCCTGAGGAAAGAAAATAACTAAAAATCCACATTAGATTACTCTGCAGAAAAAAGAATGTTTTCAATTAAATGAGGAAGGGAAAGAAGTGAGAAGACTTTTAGATTACCCACAGTCTGCTGTGGAAGGGTGTACCCTTTTGGGATTTCATCTAAAACACAGATTCTCCAATCTGATACCTGTCAGCTGTTTGGACTATACACAATAGCATTCCATATTGCAATCCTCTGACACATAGGTTTGCCAGATGCAATCTACTTCATTAGCAGTTTATTAACAAGCCCAAAATACTTTTTATCATAAGACAGACAATTAACAGTTTTAAAATCTTCTAACACTGGAATGCTATCAGTTCTGTAACTAAAATCCTTTATGCTAACCATACCAGCAAATTGATACGACAATGCAGAAAGTGAAAAATTTCTCTCCAAAGAGAGAACATACAGTGTATATTTGAAGCAGCCTCAGTTACTTTGAACTGGCAATTTCCTGTTCATGGATACGGTATTTCAAATTAAGTTTGCCACCTGGTGACAATGCAACAAGGGCAGGGATAGTTTAAAATGTTCACAATTGCAAGTCTTGACTAGTGTATTATGTATCAGGGTGAGGGAGGAGTCATTTCACATGGGCGTTGGAACAATGTGTGTGTCTGGAAAATAAATTATCTACCGTATTTTTCTGTGTATAAGACACTATTTTTCCTGCAAACATCTTGTTCAAAAATCAGGTGCATCTTATACAAGTACATTATACATGAAAAAATATTGGTAACCTCCACAGCCCAGGGCATGCCTGGGTGGGTTCTTTACATGCTGCTGCCGTGCTGCCTGGTGCAGGTGTCAGGCCCCTGTGGGCTTGCCACTAACGGGAGGGGGGAAGGGGCAAGATCGTTGGATGTCAGCGTCCAGAGGCAGTGGATGGGACCAAGAGCATGGATGGCAGTGACAGCCCTTTCCCTCGTACCTGTATGCTGGCCAGGGAACCTGAGGAATACAGCTGCGAGGCTATCCTGCTCGATAATAGCGGCTGGCTGAACTTCCAGGTTTGCTGGCTCAACTATTTGGCACTCCACTGAACAGCTGATAGGTGCGGAAAAACAGCGGGGAGCTTAAAACCTGCCT